ATTGCAGAATACGTTTCCCTGGAGGTGTCTGAAGTAAGGCTAGAAAAATCCTACCTGATCTTTAATAATCCCTCACACGCATGGTAATGCTTCAGAATTGTACTACCATTGTATAATTTACACTTAAATCCTTTCGTCTCTGTGCTCCCGCCCTCACACACAAAAAAAATCCTTTGGTGTTATAGGGAGCCAATGATTGTGAACTTGGAATACCTTGGCCTTGTTGCTGATGTAGACTCACCTGCTTTAATTGATTTATTATGTTGTGGTGGTTGTTTTTTTTTCCAGGGAGTAGGACAGAAAAATGCATTTCTCCTACTGTAGTTAATAGATTCAGGAAGTAATTTGCAGATCAGGAAACAATGGATCTCATATAATAAAAGCACTGCCTAGGTAATTCATAAGGAAGATAAACTTATATTGTTAAGCTTGCACGTTCTGTTCTTGTAGGCCATACATTGCCCTCCTGTGCTTTCCACCATTAAGCAATAATGCTGTTGCATTAGTGGAAAAGCACTGCTGCTTTGACTGGCTTTCATAACCATGCACAAAATCAAATAATGTGCTTTACTGAGTTACGAAGAGCTGTGTTATTTGTTTATAACCACTCAGTTATTGCTCTCTGTGCTGCATGTTACAATTTAATCACTGCTCTGCATCTCTTGAGCTCATGCAGGCTGGCGTGGAGCAGCAAGGGGACAAAGCACAATGACTGGCAGCCAAATGTTTCCATCAGTCAAGACGCTGATTTATTTCTTTGAGGAGGAGTGTAAAGGAAATGAGAATGGCTGTTTTTGTAACTGAGGCACTGAATAGTCATCAGTTAAGCTGTGGAGGTCATCTATAAGAGTTGAAATAGTTCTTGAGGAAGATAAAAACACTGGAGCGTGTCTTGTCTGCACAGCACGCAGCCTTTGTGAAGCTTGGGATGTCCAATGTGTCCTGCAAGGGCAGCATAAAGGATAAGTCTGGAATCCGTTTAGCTACAGGGTTTTCATTGCGAAAGAAGTTATATGAGGAAGTCAAATGCAGCGTGTTAAGAATTCTTCGTCACCTACCCAGCTAATATATGCAGCTGCAAAGTTTTTAGCTGTGTTCAGGGTGATTTATGTGCTGATATTGCAGAATGTTTAAAGTTGAATGCTCCTTGGCTAACAAATAAATCCCGTTTGGAATAGGGCAGGTAGTGTGAATGTCTGTGAGAAGTGATTGATTTTGGAATACAAATTATACGTTCTAGAGCAAAAATGAGAGTGAAAACATTAGTTGAATATTATATAAAAATATTCATGCGCGTGTCTGAAATAGATACATTCAAGTTTTTGTGGCCAATTTTGACATAATAGAAATCACATAATTATACATTTCTTCTCTATTTTTGCCCTAGGCTTAACTTTGTCCTTTCATAACAATTTTTTTTCACTTACCTCGAAATTTTAATCTGAAAAATGTCCTTTTTTTGCAGTCAAAGCGATATTCTGTAGCAAACTTGACAGCATTAGATGGTATTTTTAGGGCATCTTTTGCCCAATTCTGTATTCCATCTGAATGCATATAGAATGAGAAAAAGCAAGGGGGAGCATAGAATGTTAGATCTTTGTAAGCCTGTAAATCTCTGGAGACCACTGAAAATCTGTGCTCAACTGGAAGATCTCCTACCTATCAAGAGATGGCTTAGGGAGGTATTCCCTAGAAAGCCTACCTTGTATTTCATGTTCTTTTTCTAACCGAAATCTTGAAGTTTTCAAACAATTTCATTAAATGTAGTCACATTTTCCTCAGACTTAAGTGCATACATTAAAATAAAAACAGTCTACTTGCAGTAAAGCTTTTGGTGCTGACAGTAGAGAAACTTTTCTTGACCTCCAGGAAAACTGTACGGCTGAAGCTGCTATGGTGGGGAGAGGCAAGGCAATGAGCCTGCTGCTCAGAGCAGGAACGTTCCAACTTGCTGCTGGATGTACTCTAAGAAAGTTGTCTGTGGTATGAGATGATGTGTCTGTGATATGAGGTGATGAGCATGGCTTTTGTTGCAGTGGTTGGCTGGAAAATCCTTGTGATGCAGATTTCTGGGTGATTTAGGCACGTTGCTGCATCCAGATCAACTGATGTTTATTTTGATGGCATTCATTAAGGCACGTCTTCAGTCTGTTTGTGTCTTTTTTTTTTCTCAAGAGCTTTGCAAAATGTGTTGGTGGGTGTATGCTTGTGATAATCCTGGAAAAAGAAGGAAGAAAGTGTGCTCTGGGCAGGCAGCAGAGCTCCTGCAGCATTTCTTTTCCCTTCTGCCCTTTTTCTGAGCTGACAGTCCATTTAGTCTGAATACGGATTTGTTCTTAATGTGTTGAACTGTGTTATTTAGCCCACTGCTGCAAGCCAAATTGTTATCCCCAGGGATAAAATTGCTAACTTGATTTAACAGGGCTTTGCTAGTCTGGAAATTCATTTCTATCTTCTCCTGGATCTTTCCACTACAGGTTCTTTGTGTTTATTAAGTATGATTTTTGACAAAAAAGACACAAATATACACTAATAGCAACTATTTAGCTAGCTCTTCTTTGCCCAGGAGAAAGCTGTCGAGAAGAACCTTGTCTTATAAGAAGCAGTTAGGACCTGCATTAAGCCCTGCAGTGCCTGTGTTTGCACTGCATCGATCCCTTCGAAGTGAGACACTGAAGGAGCAGCTCTCTATTAGCACCTTGGCTGCGAGTAATTGCTGAAATGTGGAACAGAATATCTGAGTGTTTTATTCGTAATCTGCTTTGTGGCTGCATTCCTCTCTGCTGCACGTTTTGAATACTGTTTTCTAGAGCAACCAGTTGAATACACAACCGAGCACCGGCTAAAAGGATCTGCAGTGGTTAAAACCACTGGCCAAGGGAAACATCAGAACAGTCCCTGAAAGATTATGCACAAGGATTATATGGAAGAGAGGATTTGCAAGTCTGGAATGTGCTTTTCCTACAGTATCTATTTCCATTTTCTTTCAATTCTTGGTTATTTCACATTTTGTTCTAATCTCAGAGATAGAGATCAGATTTGAGATTTGCAGTCTGTAAAGCTTGAAGTGATTCTTGACGGTGTCTGGAGTATTTACAAGGTTTTAGCAGCTGATGAAATGCAGATGAGTACATAAAACAAGTAGTAGCATTTATAATTTATATTGCAGAGCCATTCCCCAGAATTATAGAAGAGGATTGAGCCCCTCCATTTCCTTCAGTTTTCCCCAGTGGTGCTAAGCAGTGTATGAAATAGGAAAACAGATCCTTGTTACAGAATGCTTAATAAAAGTGACAACAGATGTTTTCAGATGTGGAAATACCAGAACTGTAGGGGCTCTTTGGTTATCAGCTGGTCGGTGGTGTCCATACTCAGATGTTGATATCTTCCATTTCTTTCTCCTTTTTTAGATCTCACCATAAAAGGTGTATTTCAGATGAAACTTTAGCAGCAAAGAATCACTTCTGTAGGGATGTCTGGCACTGCTGTCAGAGGGCAGCCCAGCAACCTTCTCATGAAGGCTCTTGTTGGAAGGAAGGGGTGTTGCTGTAGATAGCAAGAGTCAAAAAGTTTTGTAAGCACAAGTCATGCAGGTGCTTTAAGAATATGATGTGATAAAATGGTTAATCCTGCCATTCTCCCACATTAACAAGAGATCTGATGGAAGGCGTCTCTAAACTGGCTGTTGAGGTTGAATTTGGGGTGGATTAGGAATGGAGGGAAGCTGAGATCTACGTTAAGGAAAACATGACTGCTGTGGTGAAAGGACACGAGGTAGTCTGACCTATGTTGCCGTGTTTGCCCAAAGTTCATCTGCTTCTTTTCTGTTAGTTTCAAAGGGTGACTTTCTAGTCATGAGCTCAGTGGATCCGTTCAGTGTTTGTGTTTGCAAATGATCACTGTGTCACGACAGTTGCAGCATTAAATAAATAAAGCCGATATATTACGTGCCTTGCCTTTGAGTACTAAATTGGTTGCAATTACCTGCATAAAAGAGTTGTTTTATTAATTAATTGACTTGGAGAAAAAAAGGCTGGTGACCCTCTGAAGGAATATCAATAACTGAAACATTAATTATGCAAACAAGGACTCTCTTTACACTTCATTATTCATGGCTTAACGTGAAAATTGCCTTTTGAGAGAATGCTTTATTTGTATATTTCCATGTGTTTGATTTGCCTGGATGTAGGCTTTGGGACGCAGCCTTCGTCCCCTCACAAAGCTCACTGAGTTCTGCTGATGCAATTACTGTGCTTCGTTGATGAAGGAGGGGGAGAAAGGAGCAGGAAGGCATTTGGGGATGTTTGGGAGATTTTGTTGTGTTGCAGGTGATTTCTACAGGCTGGGAGAATGCTTTCCCCACAGAGGGCTCTGCCTGCCTCCTTGTGAAGTTTCTGAGAGCATTGGCAAGTTCCGATTAAGGATTCCTGTTGCATTTTATTCCTTCTCATATCCCTTAGGACAAGCAGTCAAAAGTTGCCAGGGCTCTTTCTCGCTCAGGTGTCCAACATTAACATGCCTGCAAGAGGACAGGGAGGAAGAGCTGCCCTTTCTTTTCCAGCAGCTGAAAGGCTGTGCTGCGAGTAATCGTCTTTCAGTTTTCAGTATGCATATGAAAAGTAGTAGCTCCACAGTGCCAGAAAATCCTTCACTCCCCAAAGATTCAATCGTACCTTTTTTGTAAGTATAAGGCTTTAAGATATCCCCTTTTTAGTGCCTTGGAACTCGCTATGCCCACAGCAGGAAGGCCTGATGAAGAAATACATCCCCCCCTTGCCTTGTAGTGTGATGAATTGTGGAAGTCCTGATTGAAAATTCTAATCACAGCCTTGCAGTCCTTCAGATCACAACCCTTGACAGTTGATTCACTCCTTTTCATGCCTGCTGCCTCTCGCTGCTTCTGGTGCCTCTTATGCATGAGTCTATCATTAGCGCACAAAGCATGATGGATTGGTTGGGGTACCTCTATCCTTAGAACCTGGGAAATGCTTCTCTTTCAGAATCAAAGAACCTGTGTGTGACATCGTCATGAATGAGAGAAGAAAGTAATACAGTATTGGATGTGCCTGTTTGCTGCCACTATTTAGAGAGAAAATGATGCATTATGGGGAATGTAAGTATATGGCCTGTTGTGTTTTTTTTTCCTCTCTCCTGGCAAACGATGCAGAAAATCGTGGATCTTAATGTGTAAGCTGAGTCTGGCAAATGCACTGAAGTTGTAATGCTTCTCTGAAATGGGAACTGTAAACACAAAATTTTACTTAAAAATCAGCCTTTTCATGAAGCGTTGGAACTCTTGGTGTGAACTGATGACCAGAATGGTTAGGAATAATTGTCTTTGATACTGGCCAAGACCTCGCGTCGTTTTTGTGGGCTCTTTTCCAGAGATGCTTTTGACAGGAAACTTCTGCAAATATTTGCATCTGCAAATGCAGAAGTTCAATTTGCAAATGCTTTTATTTGTCTATGTGACTTGGCATTTAATGATTCAGTGAACAAGACAGTTAAGTTTTGGCTCCAGCGAGAGATTGATAGGAACAATTTTCAAATATGGTATCAAAACAAAGTGAAAATATGTCATGTTCAAATATAGAGCTCTGATGCGTCATGTGGTCCTCTAATAAATGAAGTAGCTCTACAAAACTGACAGATCCGCGAGAGAATGTTTTCAAATTTATGATGATTAATTTTCAAGATGAACTCCAATAAAAAATACGTTAGTAGATACTTAAAGAAGGTGAGGGAAGGCAGCTTTCTGAAATGAAAACAAGCAGGTAATGATAAGGCTGCCTTCCCTTTTATATCAGGCTTTTTAATATTTGTACAGTGAGTAAATCGATATTCCGACTGCTGCAGCTGGCAATAACAGCTACTCGTGCAAGTGTAACATCACATGGAAGTTCCACTTCTTGGATTTGTACTGTTGCTTTCTACTGGCAATGCCACAAAGCAAAGCTGAAGATTTTCTGCCAGAACTGGTGATTCCCTCAGAGCCATCAAAGTAAAACAGAGCTGAGCCCAGTGAGAAAACAAAAGTAGCTCTGTGTTTCTAGAAAGAAGAACTAACTCAACAAGTTCGTTCATCTCGAGTATTTTCATTAAGACATTTAGAATGTTGTTCAGTAATATGTAAACTGGTGTATTTAAACATAGGTAGCATTGGGCTAAAATATGCCTTGATACCATTTATACTTAGCAAGAAGTCAACCGTACCTGCCAAGTGCTTAAGTTTTATTTGTATTGATTCATGTTTATTTTTGGCTGCAGGGTTCCTTGCTTCACTTCTTCCCATTTCATTGTGTTTGCACAGATGCCTTGGCAATTGACAGGTGCAGAATAGCTTTATGCACCCATTAGTACAAGGTAGTTGGTGGCAAACATGATTTAATGTAACAATGAAGGAATTATACACTGGGACGGATCCTGGATTACTGTCTGAAGTGCTATTCTGTTCAGTTTTGTTGCAGTATATAGCAGAACAAGGTCCCTGCTGGTCCCTGTCGGGTCCTTATCCTACTGTGCACAGAGAAAACAAGGTGGATCTGAAGAGCTTAAAGATCTAAATGTAAAATAAGCAATGGGAGGAGGAAAAAAAGTACTAAAACAGATGAAACATATACACATATGTATGGTATATTGTGCCTGCTGCCTCTAGTGCACTTCAAAATGGCTTTCATATGCAAGTTGGTTGTTTTGGTCCTCAGTCCCTAACATCAGGATTCAATTAAGTCCTCTGAGGTCCCCAAAGAATAACCAAGATCATGATGAAACTGCATGCTCATTTCCTCCAGCTAATGCCAATATCTGTACTGGGGGGAAAAAAAAATTAATCTGTTCTTTGCAGCTGCTTACAGCTGTGTGTTTTATCAGTAGCCGTGGAAGGGGAATGCCTGTGTTTTGTGCTAGTCTAGAGTGCATGCAGCTTTTCAGATGGAATCAATGCTTTTACAGGGAGTATCTTTTATCAGCACATGTTTGGTAGAGATTGGCATTAATTAGTTTCTTGAAATTAAAATACATATGGATTTCCAGAAGCAGAAATACACTGGCTGAAATTGTCAAATGACCGTAAAAAATTTAGCTGTGCATCTGTCATTTATGTGCTCTGTTCTCTATGTTGGAATCCCAGTGCCTACAGTATGTGTCAGATTACGTACTGTACTTCACTGAACGACTGCATAGCCTATATATGTGATGCTTACTCATGGCAGAGTATTGTGGAGTGTTGTGCAGTGATTCTACATGAACTTGTTTACATTTCGGGCCCACTGAGCGCTCTGTCCCTGCTTTGGAATTGCCAATTACAGCATTAGCTGCGTTAGGGGACACTGGCAAACTGGGGTACAAACTGGATCACAGACTCGTTTCATGCATTGTATGGCTGTTAGCTGAAACAAGGTACAGTCACTGCCAAGACAAAGCAGTGAGATTAGTAACCTGTAGGTGTGTGGCTCTAGAATCTCCTGACCATTCATTCTCACCAAACCCAAGATTCTTTCATAATCTTATTTGTTTAAGAGAAGATAATTTTCTGAAAGACTATCATGGTCATGACTAATCAGTAATACTGTGGCATTTACAGTTGGGGGAATTCTTAAGTGTAAATATTCACATGCATATGATGTCTTGTGAATGTGTTGTTTAGTGATTCGGATGTCTGTTAGCACCTGGCATGAAATGACCAGAAAAGTGTATTCATTACTTTCAGTAACGATTGGATTGTATCCCTTTTGCAGTTTCTGACGAGTTTAGCTATGAAATAACCTGTATTTATTTACCATCTGAGCTGATAAAGCTGTTTGGGAAGTTAGTTGTGAGAACACTTGGAAGAAAATGTTTCATAAAATGGAGCGCCTACTGAAACTACACTGGTGTGTGCGTCGCACGTCTTGCCTTGTGGTGATCCTATGGTGAGATTCTGCCAAATGCTTGGTTAGGGGGAAGTTCTTTGCAGAGAGAGTGGTGAGGTGCTGAACAGCTGCTCAGAGAGGTTGTGGATGCCCCGTCCCTGGAGGTGTTCAAGGCCATGTTGGATGGGCCCTGGGCAGCCTGGTCTGGTATTAAATGGGGAGGTTGGTGGCCCTGCCTGTGGCGGAGACTTGGAGCTTCATGATCCTGGAGGTCCCTTCCAACCCGGGCCATTCTGTGATTCTGTAGGTTCTGTTTTTCAGATTTAAGAAAGATGCCAAATATGTCCTTTTTATAAAATGAGATGCTGTTTGTGGTCATTGTAATGCAAGCGTATAACTTGGAAGCACAGAATAGAAGATGCCTTTAAAATGAGGTTGGTATTTGAAATCAGTTTTCTGAATCCTTTAAAGAAGTGCCCAATTTATGTCAGCCTCAGAGAATAGTGTTTTGACATTTAGAAATGGGCTCTTGACTTATTCTGTTTTTCTAGCTGTGACCTGCATGTCCTGGGTTATGTCAAATCTGGAACTTGAAGCTGGACTCCATCTGTGCATGCAGAAAATTTGTATTTAGTACTTTAGTAGCAATACCACTCACACTACAGGGTAGTTCCCATCTGTGATGTAACTGCTATCTATACAGCTGTTAGGTTGTTAAATTAGATTGCATTTGTTAGTTAATAGCATATGAGAAAATATTCAGGTTAGAGTGGTTGTGTGTTACAAACCTTATAAAATCTCCTGATGATAACAAAAATTAAGAGTGAAATTACTTGGCTTGTTTTTGGCTGTATGTTTTTTCTTCGTAATGAAGGCTGTGGCTCATACATGCCTCTGTAGTTGCTCAGATGGACATTTGCACACTTGAAAGCCTTCCAGAGGGACTGTGCCTGCTGAGAAAGCTGACTGTGTAAGTTCAGTGCATGCACTTAGCTGTAATCACTGGAAAAACGAGAAGTGTCAAGGAAACCAAATTCCTGTCCTGTTCTGCCGTGTTGTTGGAGTTTGGACTGGATGGTCTTAGAGGTCTTTTCCAACCTTAATGATTCTGTGTGCTAACGAATCATTTTTGCAATCAACAATTCAGTCTTCTGGCTTGCTTTTTAACTTCTGTCTCAACAAATACGTGTAGACTGATCAAAAGTCAGATTATATGCAAAACCATGATTTGTACTTTCCCGAGAGCATGGATTTCTATGTTGGCCATTTTACAGTCCAATACCAGATTGTATTAAATATTAAAAAAATGATAATATTTTAAGCAGTAATCAATTTGACTGATCTGAAATGGTCTGGACTTCCATTTTAACATCTAGTGGTGAAGTGGAAAGGCTGTGCAAACGTTTGGTACTCTCATTAACGGGGCAGTATTAAGCCTTGAAAGCCCTCCGGAGCCTTTGTCTCAGTTAGAGCATTCTCTGTGCTGTGCATCTTCCCTAATAGTTGAACCGAATGAACTAAAATAGCCTTTGGGCTATTTTGTTGTACTGTGTTGTTGGGGAAAAAAAATTAAAAAAAAAAAAAAAAATTAATCCTGTGTCATTTTGCATTTGCTGTCTGTGAATCAAACTGTGAAAACTAATTTAAAAACTTTCACACTTGGCTTGAATGAGGACTGTCAGTGCTTGGAGAATGTTAAATTGAATGCAATTAGTTCGAAGTGGGCAAGCTTAGTATGCCCATCAGCCTCGGAGTGCCCAGCTTTAATGACTGCTCTGAGAAACGAATGCTGAAGTTACAGAAAAGAGTTTAAAGGCATTAAGTTGCTGCTAAAAAAGTGGCCTTTATAGAACAGAGCTTTGATAACAAAGCAGCCTGCATGCTGAGGGGTAAGGAGGTTGGGAGGCCCTTTGGAAAGTTAGATAGAACACTGTGCTGCTTTGGTGAAACAACAGATAAACCTGCTTAAAAATCTTAAAGGCTTTTCTCCTTTTTCTTTTCACATCTTCTCCCTCCAACAGCTTTTTATTTTTCTGTTTTCTTCTTTCTTTTTGGAGGAGGTCACCTGCAGAGTTTTATTTTCAGGTGCTGAGCGAGATCTCAGCTCAAGTTGTTCCCTAAGGATTGTAATAAAGTGACCACCGAATTTCCCAACAGAGCCCCCGATGGTAAATTGAAAAGAACCAAGTCTGCAAATTAGCATTTACGTGCCATCCATTCTTATGTGGGCGACACAAGTTGTGTAGACAAAAGCAATATTTTC